ATGTATAACGTTCAGTAGAAAAAAGAACAACTTGGAAGCCGACTATTTCCTTGACGGGAACAGGGTGGAAAGGTGTGACACCATCAAGGACCTGGGCGTTCAGATTGATGCCTCGTTTGATTTTGAACCGCACATAAGCCATATATGTGCCAGGGCGTCACGCATGCTGGGACTGATCTCTCGGACGTCAAGACATGGGTTGAGTGCCAACTCCTCAATGATCCTGTTCAAGGCCTTAGTTCGCCAGCTGCTCGAGTACGCCTCTGTGGTCTGGTCACCCTACCTCCTCGGCCAAATCAATCATCTTGAATCAGTACAGAGACGCTTCGTGAGACATCTTGGTTGCCGCGCTGGGTTCAATTAAATGGACGTCCCAGTCGAGGAAATATCTGCAGCTTATGGTCTCCAAAGCTTGGAGTGTAGAAGAAGAGTTGCTGATGTTGCCTTCCTCTTCAAGCTGCTTAACAACCAGATCAGCTGCCCTTTTCTGCTCGAGAGGATTAACTTGCACGTTCCCAGAAGTACCAGGCATCAACGCTTGTTTGAGCTAGACCATGCGTCGACCAGCTATCTACGCTTCTGCCCCATACCACGTCTGATGCACTCCGGGAACGAGATCTGTTCGTCGGTCGTCCTTTTCGCTTCCAGTTTGGAGGCTGTTAGGCGAGTGGCAGCAAAGGAACGTGACACTCTATAACATTTCACTGTTGGTGCTGTTTTTGATCTTGTTGTATCTCAAATCATTATTATTGTTGATCATTTAATGCTTTATTATTGTTATTCATTTCATTATTTATTATTGTTACTAGTTTAATTTCTACTACTATGTTATTCTTTTCATTGTTTATCGTTGTTAATGCTTAGCAAAAAACACAAACATTCACTGTTGTAGCTTTCAATCTTTATCTTTGTAAATTGGTGTATTGCCGTCGGTAAAAAAATAAAATAAAAAGAATAAAAAAATAAAATAAAAATATATACTAAATTAGCCTATTTCTTTTTTTAAGCTCTACAAAATGGTAAATTTTAAAATTGTACATGTTTTTAGGGTCATAAATGGGGAAATCCTATTTTCATCCCATAAACTCCAGTTCCCATTGCCCGGTTATGCTGGTTTGCGTACTCGTTCGAATAAATGTAGGTTTACACATTTTCACTGAATTTTATTACTGGTATTTTAATTGTGTGCACGATCTCTTAAAGATATCTTAGAAAAATTAATATTACTAATGAAACACATATGAAAACACAAAATCTAACATAGCCTAAGTTATTTTCTTATCTATATAATTAATACCGGTACGCTACATGAAACTTTGTCGGTTGAACTCCTCCGCCATTTCTTAACCGATTTTATCCATTGACGTCTCATTGGAAAGAGCGTGTCGCGTAGATTTGCAAACTGGCCTTACATTTTTGAAAAAGTCCCTTGGGCTCTGCCCCTGTGGCTTTGAAAGTTCCATGTTATCCTTATGAAGAACATAATTGTTTACATTTTGATCAGCTGTATAATTTAACTGCTGTTATTTTTATTCTATTCAATGAAACACATTGAGTACGTTTATTTACTATTTGAGTTTGTTTAACCCTCCGAGTGTCCATAGTTTAGGCCTTAATGTCCACCTATTTTTTGCGCATTTGCAAGGTTTTATTAAAACGGATCTGAGAAGATTAAAAACAATGTTAATTCTACTGTTCTATATACCATTTTGTTTGTAAAATCATGGGCTTCAATATTATACATAAAACATAAGGAACATTGTTTCCAAAAAATTTTTTAGGTAAAAAAAAATATTTTGGAAAATTTTCAAAAAAAAAAGTTTGCGCTCAATGAAATTGTATAAATTATAGGCCTATAAATATTTGAAAATAGCCACTTTGTTCTAAATTTTATGAGGATTCCAAAAAATTAATAATATAAGGAAGTAGATTTGCAAATAAATAAGTTATGGGCAAAAAACAGATTTCGGTACATAGCGTTTAGCTAAGAATGCATAGCCTAACCATAGCTAGGAATCTGGCTGATAATTTACATCAATATCACTACCTACTTCTTCAGGATCATCAACCAGCCCTTCAAAATCACTTAAACCTTCTTATAATGCACCACGTATATCACTACTTTTGATTTTTAACACTAAAACTATGATAAACGTAATAAAACACATCAGTCATCGGTCCGAGGGTAACCTAGCTATTTACAAATACGCACTTCCGCTGTCTGCTACAATTACGATCGGCTCGGATACCATACAGCGCTTAGAGACAGACCTGGAGAAAGCTTAGAATATAACGGAAAGAACGATACCTAACTCGATCCAGTTCAATCCGATTCAGTCAGTTATAGAGCCTTCGCCGTAAACGATGTCTGCGTGTCGAAAAATCGACAAGTAACACTACACAAAGTGTGCTGCTTGTCGAATTTTCGTCAAGTAACACTGGGAGGGTTAACCCCTAAGACGGATCGTGTTAGTATGGTTGTATCTTAAATTTGTGTATTTATCGTTGTTTTGTGTCGCTATGACGGATCGTGTTAGCATGATTGTAACTTAAATTTGTGCATTTATTGTTGTTTTGTGTAGCTATAACTTTTTTTATTTTTTTTCTTCTTTTAAATGCCTCCGACGAGACGACAACGAAACATAGACAGGAGGCGTAATCGTGATAACGACCGCAGCTACAGAACAGTGGCGCGTAATAGGTTTAACTCATCACAGTCAGCACCTGACCCTGGACAATCTCAACTATTGGTTACAAATGCACCCTAACACTACCCCAAAACGACTTTTCGTTATCAATTGGCCCTCTATCAATGACCTGTGTTGCCTGTACAGCGAGGTATTTTGAGAAGGAGAAAACCAGCCGGAATGATTTAGGTTTATCAATAACAAAGATAAACACGGTCTGAGTTACACACCGGTAATCTTGAGTTGACTCTTTTAAATTAATTGTAAATATGACTGTTATTCGTTTTAAAATAAATCCTGTAACACTTTGCAATTGCTCGAATTCGAGCAACATGTACACTAGTTTACATTAAAACAAAAAACATTGCAATAGGCTATTTTACTTGAATTCACTAAAACAACAATAAAACATAGGCCTAATAAGTTATGAAAATGGGAAATCTTATCAAAGCACAATATCTAACATAGGTAGTCATTTTCTTCTTTACATTTTATGCAAGTAGGCCTAACATTACAATATTTTACTTAAATTTACTTAAACATCACCAACTGTAGGCCTAATGATAAACCCATTTCCATATGGATTTAATAGTATATTTCGTACCTAGGGCCAACAACACAACTGCAAGTTTAAGGTTATGTGAAGAAATAGGAATCAGTAAAAATAACTTAATACGGTAATAAAAAGTTGCTTAGCAGCGGTGACAATAATTAAAACAAATCAATATATATGTATATGTATATATATGTATAGCAATGCATATGTATACAGCTTGTATATTAACAATAATGTTTTAGGTAAATAAGCGAACAGCTGATCTTCGGCCCTAGGGCCGCAAAGACCTGCTCGGTCCCCAAATGATGATAACAGCTGGCATGGACAGCTACGGTATACATAGCTTTCATCCCTTTCAGCCTCCAATTAACGTATGTAAAACGGCTAAAAACAAGGTAGTGTGGTGAAAACAAGATTGTATCATGGCAATCTGTTTTGATGTAAAGGAAATGTAAACTTGAAAAAGTTCAGATGATATAGCCCGGGAAGACTGTGGTCCTATTCTATCCCCGAAACCTCACGGGGAGCCGTTTGTCATTGGGCTATCAATTAATGATATGATCTAACAAAAAGATCATGGCTAAATAGTAGCAAGACCATGGTTTGGCTCGTTCCCTTAAAAAAAAGCAAAACAGTGCTAGGTAACTTAGGCCTAATAGTGAGAATACACACACAAAAACAAAAAACTGATTTAACTTAACTCAAAAGTATTTAGGACTACTCAACCAAAAGTGCATGAGATAAGTTAAGTTAGGCCGACGTACGTTCTTTTCACAGTTGCATTCCGTTTAAAAATGTCTTACAATATGACATGGTTAGTGCCAGCAGTTGTAAAAAACTAATTAATACAGGCTCATTTTATCACTGCATTTGGTTATATAATTTAATTTAAGCCGCATTTACACTGGAGTTTGAAACACGAGTTGCAAACAGAAATTGCAAACATCTCTAGCAAAGCACATTTATGGACTAAACATTTTGCTGTTGCAAACAGTTTTTCAGTGTTTGCAACAGAAATTTTTGTTTCCACCTGAAGTCGGTAAAGATCAATGGGAGTTGCAAACTTTTGTTTGCAACACTGGTTTCGGTCACTATGTGCCGTTGAAACACAAAACAGAAACATTTCTCCGCCATCCCCTACGCTGCCACCTTCACTCTCACTCACGTGATCACTCGCACCACCCTGTGTCTCGACTCAAGTGTCATTACCCTGTCTGGACTGCTACTATTGTAGTTACCTCGTGCTTGTTAAGTGAGTGATCAGTGGTAAGTGCCAATGGAAAATTTACTGAGTGGAATGGTGTGGGGAGATTACAACATTCTAAAGTTAATTAGCTTGTGCAGTAAGCAGCAAGTCCTGTGGAACCAAACTATTTCAGATTACAAAAATAAAAAAATGAAAAACTCGCAAGGAATGACATTTCATTCAAAATGACATCCTCGACACTTGGTCATCCTTGGAAGGACTGATCCCAAGAACCAGAACATAGGCGGGTAGGTGTATGGCTTGTGGCCTATGGCTCGTGTATGGCTACCCACACGAGTCATAATCAACGAAAGTGTTTAACAAATTTTCATGAAACATGGAAATAGAACCATGAAATAAACATTGCAAACTTTTATTTGAAACTACTGTTTGCAACTGCTGTTTGCAATAAAAGTTTGCAACTTTTTGTTTGAAACTTCGGTGTAAACGCAGCTTTAAATAACGCAGGCCTATAACATGCAGTACCTAAGTTAATTACCTAATAACTTACATGTTTTCACTTAATTTAGTATTTTTTTGAACCGTCATACTCGGAAAACGATCAAATATTACTAAAAGAAACTAAAAAAGATACAATATTAAGGTACTATGCTCTGAACTGAATAGAATTTGATAAGTTAGCCTCTGCCGTGCTTAGATCAATGCACAAGCACAAGTACAACACAGACAGGACAGACTAACACACAACACAACACAACACACGACACAAGTACACAACAAACAAAACAACATTAACCATAACCATAACCTAAAACAAAACATAAAAACACAACAAGACAAAGAGCACTAGAGCAGTCGGTGGGGCACACGGGAGGGACTAAGGCTAACATATCTTGTAGTGTCAGTGTTCGCCGCTAGAACCGCTAAGTTGAATTTTTTTTTAGGCTATTTTTAGTTATAAAATTCAATTTTTAATTATAAAATATTGTTTTGAAATTATAAAATAAATTTTAATTTTTAAAATAAAAATGTCATAACATAACCTAACCAACCAGACTTGCTGATAATATAAAAACTGTAAAAGATAAAAATCTAATTAATGATTACTTATAATTTTTAATTAATTATAAAATTAATTTTAAAATTCTGTATTATAAAATTAAACTGTCATAACCTAACCTAACCAACCAAACTTGCTGATGTGAAAAATTTGTTGACAAAAAGTTTGTTCTACCAGCGGGATTTGAACCCGGGACCTCCTGAACACCATATCGAAACGCTACTAACTATGCCACGAACGCCGTTGAAAACGATTTAATTGAGCGGAGCGAGCGAAGCGAGCGAAGCTCTTTTACATCGACTTTTATGCATTTCGTAATACGCAAACTCCTCCTAGACGGCTGAATCAATCGTTTTCAAATTTTGTATGGTGATAAAGACCATATCGGTGAGTGCCAACATCTATATGGCGTTAAAAAAGTCTCTCAGGAATCCGCCCCACTGGGTCTCAAAGTTTCAATGTAATCCTTATGGAAGCAGTATTTGACACGGAATGGGCACACGGAAGGGACTAAGCCTAAATGTGTAATGACGTCATATCTCTAGTGGTTATTGTCTTCTCTTGAGGCGACACGATTACCGTAACGAAACAAGGTGATTCAGGGGCGTTCGTGGCATAGTTGGTAGCGTTTCGGATTGCTGTTCAGGAGGTCCGGGGTTCGAAACCCGCTGGCAGCATTAACTTTTTGTCAACAAATTTTTCATATCAGCAAGTTTGGTTGGTTAGGTTAGGTTATGACAGTTTAATTTTATAATACTAAATTTTAAAATTAATTTTATGATTAATTAAAAATTATAAGTAATCATTAATTAGATTTTTATCTTATATAGTTTTTATATTATCAGCAAGTCTGGTTGGTTAGGTTATGTTATGACAGTTTAATTTTAAAAATTAAAAATTTATTTTATAACTTTAAAACAATATTTTATAATTAAAAAGTTAATTTTATAACAAAAAATAAAAAATAAAAAATTAATTTAAATTTGTTCAACTTAGCAGTCCTAGCGGCGAACGCTGACACTACAAGATATGTTAGCCTTAGTCCCTCCCGTGTGCCCCACCGTATTTGACACATAAACAAAGACATATGATCAGCTGTTGACTTTTGAATGCAGTAGATAAAGAAATAGCTTATAGCATTATTCCACAGATATTAGAACAGAAACGGTATGGATCATAAATTATAATCAAATGACGACACTAGCTTGAGGTCCATGACGTATGAAGTGGTGAAGGAAGTAGTAAAGGTGAGCAGTCTGGAGTGTGAAAACTGTTTATGACGATTAGATGAAGGTATCTGCATTCCTAAAATTCTATGGGAGGGGAGGAAAACAGGTCCGTGACGTAGGAAGTGGTGAAGGAAGTAGTAAAGGGGAGCAGTCTGGAGTTTGGAGACTGTTTATGACGATTAGATTAAGGTATCTGCATTCCTAAAATTCTATGGGAAGGGAGAAAAACAGGTCTGCTACGTAGGAAGTGGTGAAGGAAGTAGTCAAGACGAGCTGTCCGGAATGTGGGAACTGTTTATGACGATTAGATTTACGTATCTACAATCTTAAAATACTATGGGAAGAGAGGGAAACGGATCCGCGACGTAGTAAGTGGTGAAGGAAATAGTAAAGGCGAGCAGTGGCCGATTCAGTGTGGAAACTGTTTATGACGATTAGATGAAGGTATCTGCATTCCTAAAATTCTATGGGAAGGGAGGAAAACAGGTCTGTGACGTAGGAAGTGGTAAAGGAAGTAGTAAAAGCGAGCAGTCTGGAGTGTGGAAACTGTTTATGACGATTAGATTAAGGTATCTGCATTCCTAAAATTCTATGGGAAGGGAGGAAAACAGGTAAGCGACGTAGGAAAGTGATGAAGGAAGTAGTAAAGGCGAGCTGTCCGGAGTGTGGAAACTGTTTATGACGATTAGATTTACGTATCTACAATTTTAAAATGCTATGGGAAGAGAGGGAAACAGATCCGCGACGTAGGGAATGGTGAAGGAAGTAGTAAAGGCGAGCAGTCTGGAGTGTGGAAACTGTTTATGACGATTAGATTAAGGTATCTGCAATCCTAAAATTCTATGGGAAGGGAGGAAAACAGGTCTGCGACGTAGGAGGTGGTGAGGGAGGTATTCAAGGCGAGCTGTCCGGAGTGTGATAACTGTTTATGACGATTAGATTAAGGTACCTGTAATCCTAAAATGCTATTGGAAGGGAAGGAAACAGGTCCGCGACGTAGGTAGTCGTGAAGGAAGTAGTAAAGGCGAGCTGTTCGGGGTGTGGGATCTGTTTGTGACCATTAGATTAAGGTATTTGTAATCCTATGATGTTATGGGAACGGAGGGAAAAAGGTCCGAGACGTAGGAAGTGGTGAAGGAAGTAGTCAAGGCGAGCTTTCCGGACTGTGGGAACTGTTTGTGACCATTAGATTAAGGTATCTGCAATCCTACAATGCTATGGGAAGGGAGGAAAACAGGTCCGTGACGTAGGAAGTGGTGAAGGAAGTAGTAAAGGCAAGCAGACCGGACTGTGGAAACTGTTTTCGACGATTACATTAAGGTATCTGCAATCCTAAAATGCTATGGGAAGGGAGGAAAACAGGCCCCCGACGTAGGAAGTGGTGAAGGAAGTAGTGAAGGCGAGCAGTCCGGACTGTGGGAACTGTTTGTGACCATTAGATTAAGGTATCTGCAATCGTACAATGCTATGGGAAGGGAGGAAAACAGGTCCGTGACGTAGGAAGTGGTGAAGGAAGTAGTAAAGGCAAGCAGTCCGGACTGTGGGAACTGTTTGTGACGATTATATTAAGGTATCTGCAATCCTAAAATGCCATGGGAAGGGAGGAAAACAGGACCCCGACGTAGGAAGTGGTAAAGGAAGTTGTCAAGGCGAGCTGTCTGGAGTGTGGGAACTGTTTATGACGTTCAGATTGAGGTATCTGCAATACTAAAATGCTATGGAAAGCGAGGGAAACAGGTCGTGACGTAGAAAGTGGTGAAGTAAGTAGTAAAATCGAGTACTTCGGAGTGTGGAAACTGTTTATGACGATTAGATTTAGGTATCTACAATCTTAAAATGCTATGGGAAGAGAAGGAAACAGATCCGCGACGTAGGAAGGGGTGAAAGAAGTAGTAAGGTGAGCAGTGTGGAGTGTGGGAACTGGAAACTGTTTGTAGCAGTTTTAATGTATCTGCAATGCTGAAATGCTATGAGCAGGGATGGAAGCACGCCCACGACATATGAAATGGTGAAAGTAGTAGTAAAGGCAAGCAGTACGGATTTTTGGAATTTTTCGACAATTAGATTAACGTATCTGAAATACTAAAATGCTATGGAACGTGGTGAATACAGGTCCACGGAAGTAGTAAAGTATGAGCATCAGCATAGTGTGAGATCCGTCTTTGGCAGTTAGATTAATGTATCTTCAATGCTAAAATGCTATGAGAAGGGAAGGGAACAGGCCGCACGACGTAGGAAGTGGTGAAAGAAGTAGTAAAGGCTGGCAGTGCAGAGTGGGGGGACCGTTTGGGCAGTTAGATCAAATTAATCTGTAATACTTAAATGCTGTGAGAAAGGAAAGAAACAGGTCTATGATGTAGTAAATGGTGAAGAAAGTAGTAAGGCTTAGCAGTGCAGAATGTGGGAACTGTCTTTGGCAATTACATTAATGTATCTGCAATCCTAAAATGCTATGGGAAGAGAGGGAAACAGGTCCACGACGTAGGGTGTGGTGAAGGAAGTAGTAAAGGTGAGCAGTGTTGAGTTTGGGAATGGATTAATGTATCTGCAATGCTAATATGCTACGGGAAGAGACTGTAGACTGTTGTTAAAATGATTACGAAGCATGAATCGATACATATTTTCGATACATGCAATCGTTTAAATCGAAATTTACAACTGAGTTGACAACAGCTGATTTTTACTCCATAGAGGCTAAAAACGATTTCTACTCCCTAAATATTAAAAATGCTACTTTAGACCCGCAACGCATGCATTAAAAACTATTTTTTTTACTGCAATATTATAAAAAACAATATAATATGAACCGTTGATGACTCCGCTCAATTTTGTGGATGCCTCTGCGAACGCCACCTAGTAACTCATCGTTTCGTTACGGTAATCATGTTGCCTCAAGAGTATACATTAGCCACTAGAGATATGACGTCACTACACTTTAGCCTTAATCCCTCCCGTGTGCCCATTCCCTAGACCAGTTACATTACAACGAAAAACTATCGTGATCATGTTAAGGCTGTCGTTTCCTAGACGCGTAGTAGATGCGCAGGGGCTTAGATGCACAACGTCTTTTATCCAATAAATAATGGTTTAAATACCTTATACTGTCAAAAGTGATCCTTTGTAGTCTATGTAGGCTACTGCAGTTTCATTCCCGGGGGAACTTCATCAGGCTTGTAATGACATCAAAACTTCATTCCATAGGAAGTCGGCATGGTAAAAATCCATCAAGGTCATATATACATAAAACACGGACGAACACACAAACATAGCACATAAACATTACGAAACACGGTACCGGGAAGCACGTTACGCACGGAGGGCAGGTCTAGACTGATGCGTTATCTTGATCTCCAAGTGTATTTCCTCCCCCACCTACTTGCTTATCACGAGTTGACCAATGTTTTGTTTGCGACTCACCTATTCTTATTGCCCATTCATTAATAATATTAGACTTGAAACCTCTTTGT